ATATAAAAATACTAGTCTGTGTTATCATTTACTACCAAACAATGTATGCAAATCTATTATTCAGTTAAACTTTATCAAAATGTACACATACAAACACAGATTGTACATGATACCATTAACTGTGGAAAGAAATGTAAAGATGCAATGTTAAATGTTAACTGCATAGAATTATAGTACACACTGTACTGCTGTCATCATTTCATAGTCACTTCCTGTTGGTATCATGATGAGCACATATCATGTATCTGCTTAAAATATCTTGCAACACTCATCTTCTGCTCGTGAGTAATTCATCTCTCCAGTAAATTGCATATGGTAAATGGTGATCTCTTGCAGTTTTTATATATATTTCATCATGTTTAACGCAACATCTTAAACCTAAAGTGACACCACGGGACCCATATGAAGTACCACAGTTGATGCTAAAAATGCTCTGAGAGAGCAAAATCAGGACATTACAAGATAAAGTTGAATTGTTTGATATGAACCACAGACTGAGTTCTGAAGGTGCAGAGACAGAAATTTACAGTATCATTAAATACTGTATAGTAATGCAAATGTATTTTTTCTTCTTTATGATTTTCTTTATAACATTTTCTTTCTTCTAGCTTAATTTATTGGAAGAATACAATGTACTATACATATACAAATATGTTAATTAACTATTCTGTTGACAAGGCTATTAGTTGTGGAGTTTTGGGGGAGTCAAAAGTTATACAGGGATTTTTGACAATGGAGGGAGTTGGCACCCCATCCCAGTTTTGTTCAAGGGTCAACTGCACTCAAAGAACTATTAAAACTCAACAGTTATAAAACAACAATCTAATTAAAAATAGATGAAATATGTAAATATGTATCTCTCCAAAATACATACCCTTGTCAACTAAACATATAAAAATATGCTTAAAATATTTATCATTAGCGAAATAAAAGTTAAAAAGAAATCAAGGTATTTAGTAACTAAAATTTTTAAAAATGAATCCTGATGAGGATGTGGAACCACATGACTCCTTAAATGAGGGTTTACTGGTAGAAATGCAAAGTAGTACATCCAATTTGGAAGATTCTTGAACAGCATTTTAAAAGCTAAACATGGTGTTTACTATGTTATTCAAAATTATGCTTTTAAGTATTTACCAATTGATTTGAAGACTTATGTTCACAAAAAATCTGAACACAAATCCTTATAGTGCTCTATTTCTGATTGGTCAAAACAAGAAGCAATCAAAGTGTCCTCCATTAAGTTAATGAATAAACAAACTTAATACATTCATACAATGGAATATTATTCACTGATTTAAAGAAACTATCAAGGAAAAATAAAAACAGAAATATTTATCCTTGAACTTTATATTTTTCAATGAAAGATACCAGTCTGAAAAGGTTACGTAATCTATGGTACAAATTATACGACATTCTGAAAAAGACTATAGGCACAGTAAACAAATGAGCGGTAGTCAGATGTTCAAGATGAGAAGAGAGACATAATAAATAGGGGAACATCATGGATTTTTCAAGAGATAAAACTATTTTATATGTTTCTGTAATCATGGATACATAACATACATTTGTCAAAATGTATAGAACTTTATATAGTACAAAGAGTGAACCTCATTGTATGCAAATAAAAATAAAAATAATTTAAGAGTTTGAGGCATTCCAGGAAAATATGCAGATTGTGATAAGAGAATCTAATGCCATTACAAACACAGAAAACAATCTCAATGAAAGGGATATCAGGGAAAGGTGCTGGCCTACATTACTTTGGAAATGAGTGGAGTGTATAAGAGTAGTAACAAATAGTATGACATGTCAGCACGGTATTCTAGTTGATAGAGTTGTTTCCCACAGGGGTACTGGATAACAATTCCCATAGTGCTGTGTCTGTGTATTACTATACACTTATTCAACAATTAAGTAAATGGATGGCAGATGGTAAGAGCCAGATTTCTCACTGTTGGAGTGGGAATTTATAGATACACAAAGGGAGGAGACTAAAAAGATATATGTGATAATAAATTAGAGACACCAGTCATAACTCGTTTAGATTAATATAGTTACAGATGGTTATCCATGGAAACGTGTGTGTGTGTGTGTGTGTGTGTGTGTGTATTTGTGTATGTACAGCTTAGTATATATATTTCTTTTTTTGTTCACCCTGTCAAACTAAATAAAACAACACTCCAGTAGCAATGAGCACACCTAGCACCCATATCTTGGCTTCTAATACCATTCTCCAATTAAAACAAAACAAAACAAAACAAAACAAACAACAACAAAAAAAAATGAGACATTTGAAAAAATGTCTGATTCTAGGACTGAGACAAAAAAAAAAGTAAGATGAGCCTGAAACATCTAGTAGTGACAGACAGTATGGGGTGTTCAAAAAGAACAACAGCAACCACTTTGATGTAAGTCAAAGAAGCATAGGAGCCCACTGAAAGTGCTCCCATGAAACAAAACTAGAACCATTTTAGCAAAAATCAAAATATTGAATTATAATTCAAAGCATAAAATAGCACAATGCATACCGATATCAGTAGCACTTAATACATAAATGGGAAAAATAGATAAGTCTCCCATGAAGAAGAATTACAAATAATTGACATAGATAGTCTGTCCTACATGAGAGAGAACATAACTCTTCACTTTTCAAGTGCAGATGACACACTCTTCCTTGCAAAGTACGATGTGGAAAAGACAGTGGAGGGGAGAATTAGTAACTTTACAGTGAGAAAACCTGACAGGCGCTATATTGGCCAAGTGTTCAAAGTCAACATCAACAATCACGAGTCATGCTGATCTTACATGCCCTTCATGTGATGAAAATGACACTCTCTGTAATCTTCCTACCCAAGCCTCATAACCCCAGTCTAACCATGAGTAAAATAACAGACAAATCCTAATTGAAAGAAATTCTATGCTGTATCTGACCTATATTTCTCACAACCGTGAAAGACATCAAAAACATGAAAAAGTGTGAGAAACTATCACAGCCAGAAGTAACATAGGAGACATCCTGACTAAATGCATTATATTAAGCTTAATGGAACCCTGGAAGAGAAAAAGGACATTAGGTGAAAACTGAAGCCATCTGAGTAGGCTCTAGACTTTAGTTAATAACAATCTAACAATATTATTTCATTAATTATAGGAAATGTACCATAATGCAAGATGTTAATAAATGGAATACTCTTTGTGTGACTAAAAATGAGAACTCTGTTCTATCCTCTCAATTTTTCTGTAAATCTAAAACCCTTCTAAAAATAAACCCTACTGAAGAAATGATTGCGAAACAGCCACGCTAAAGTACTCTATGTGGCAGCTTATTTCACCTATGTTTCATTTATTTCAACTATGTCTCAGTTTCCTTGACTTTTAAATGTCAATAATTATTTCATAAGGCTGTTGGGAGGATTAAAATCTTGTAGTGCAGGTCCTGCACAGAGCAGAAGGCCAATAATTTCTATGCTTCCATGGCTAAAAACATTTCAGAGTTATGGTGTTAGAACTGCCATCAGAGCCATAGAGAAAAATCAGTTTCACAAATTACACTGAGATCAAGATTTTGAGCCAAATGGTATTTTAAAAGCGTGATTATACATTATATTTATTTGATTTTTATGTTGATTTATTTTTATTATTTTCAAATATTAAATTTGTCACAATTAAAATGTATCAATGTATTTTAAAACAACTGCCTTGGAAATATTGATAGGCATCTAAACCACTAAATGAGACATATTAATAAAATATATTTTAGAGTCAGAAAGATCTGAATTCAAATAAATCTATGCTTCTTAGAATCTTGTACTTTTTGACTAAGTTATTTATACTCTCTAAGCATCAGGGATTTTTGAAAATCTTAAAACAAAGATAATTTTTGCAGCATTTCTGTTAAAAGTAAATGCAATAGTGCTTACTAGGTAGTTAGCATAGTCCTTGGCACATGGTAAAACAATATTCTTTTGTTAGCTTACAGATCATATTTTTCCATTAATATTTTTAATGGAAATATTTAACATATATAAAAGAATTATATACTACAAATATGTTAGCTGAAGTGAAGGGCTATGGCATGATTTTTAAAACAATTCCAAAGTAGATAATCTTTATGAAACGAGAACTGGGCACAGGTTATCTTTCTTTCAGACAAGTGATCTATTACAACATGTGATTATTTTTATGTTTTCAAAATACTAGTAGAATAAAGGCAGACAGAACATACATTATTTCTTTTTTATAGCTTCATGTTGCTTTTGATAAAGAGCTCAGGGCTGATTTCATGTCACTTATGATGCAGAAACCACACATATGGTTTCTCCATTACACACGTTTTGGAATTAGTTTCCTAGAACTCAACTTCGCTGTGAGTACGTCCAGTTCTACAAACCGTCTTTTCTGATAAACTCCATGTCCAATGGAAAAGAATTATCACCAATCAAGCAGATGTTTTTCTAAATTTTTAACAATTTAGAAATATTAATTCATATTCCAACATTCACCATTGAACATCATTCATCAACACTAACGGATCAGAGTGCACAAATTGCATTATATGCCTTACTGTACCTGCATAGTCCTGGTTAACTGATTTCACAACTTTTTCAACACCCATCTTAAAACATTTTATAGCAAAACATAACTATGTTTGATGTTACACAATTTGATAGGTCTTTGTAGAAAGTAAACAGGGTGATAAGTGATTACATATGGTAGCCTATTCAAAACTAGAACTGCTTAATAACTCATCACCTTTGATGTCATTCACTTTGTTTTATAATGTGTATTCTTGCTACCAATGTGACTGGATCTTTTTTGGTTTCAGTATTTTCACTTAGGAATAGAGCTTTCATATTTCACAGACAAATCCAAGAAATAACTATATTGCTATCATGAAATCTTTTTCTTCCTTAGGGAGAGTCTCCCACTGCTGACTCAGCCATGTAATACACTAAACATCAGTTGTCCAAGCACTGCTGGCTAAAAATTATTTTTACATTGTATGTAAACTTGAAAATTTAAGCCAAAATGAGGGAGAGCACCAGAGGGAACAAGAGAGAGAGAAGATAATGTCTTCCAGATGACGGCTTTCTGGATGAAATCTGAAGCCTGAAGCAAGAGAAAATTTTCATTACCATTCAGATTACATGTCATTTTGATTCACACTCCCTAAGCAAGCTAATTTGGTCGGCAGCCAACCTTCTCACAGTGTGATGACAACACAACAAGCTTCACCGCCTTCCCTTCAGTGCTAATGATTCCTTGAGTGACAGCCATGGTCTCAGGGCTCTGCATGACACCTCACCCTGCTGCACCCGCAATGTCAGAGCTGCTGTCCTGGGCTCCTGCTCTCAGTCCTGGCAAGGACAGCCTGTGACTTCAGGAACACATCAGCCACTGTCACCCCACCCACCTGCATACCTAGACACACACAGGGGGCCCTGGTGCTCACCCCTCAACACTGCATGTTCTCAGGAAAAAATCACCAGGACACAATAAATTGTGCTGGTATCTGGCTGCCTCTGAAGATCTCTACCCTTTCCCGTCAGGACACCAGGAACTTACCCATCTTTACCATGGACTCATCCAAATCATGAATTATTTGTTGTGCCATAAGCTATTACATTAGGTTCAAATGTCAATCTTTTTAAAATTTATTTTTGTTTTAAATTTTCATTTACTCTGTTTTGGAAAATATCTTTTTCAATAGATGTATATATTTTCTAAAAAGAAAAAAAAAACTTGTTTGTTTTTTGATTTAAGCTAAGCAAACACACCCTTATCATTCCGAAGTCCCGCTACCTGACAGTGTTTGGAGCTATGAGAAGAACACTGACCTTTATTTCTGTTCTAGAAAGGAGTCTGTCAATGCATGTTTGAGATGGGAACATAAACACTAAGGTATGATATGTACAGCGTGGACGTTGTGTTGGAATTCCCTGTGGTATTCCCAAGAATGGAGGCATGCCCAAACACGGAGCGTGCCACAGCCATTGGATGAGTGAAGGAAAGAACAAATGTGAGTATCTACTTGTGAATGTGGCTATCTCATTATGAATGCAGCTGTTTCAATTCTGGCTGGGAGTTACCAGCACTATTTGCAAGTTCAGAAAGCATGCTTGTCTCTTGGTATGTGGCTTCTTCACCAAAGTCCTCTTCAACCACTCACTGACATATGAAAGTTGCTTTCAAATGATGGAAGATGAAAAGGAGATTTTAGTCAGGCACTAGATCTCTTCCCCTATAGCATGCCCTATTTTAATTCATGTATTCATTTAATAGAAGGCTAAGGTCCCAACAGCATGAAAGTCACAGTGCTGAAATACTGAGTACCCAGGTGGGCACAGGTGAGCAGGGTAGCCCTCTAGAGTTCTGGGACTTCGCATCTAATCAAAGATATAGAAAAGCTCATTACGGTTTGAAGGTATTAGGGCAGAAGACGGTCTAATCTGTAACATGATAAATTAAGTGTTAGAGAGGTAGGTGTGGAAGGCTGGAGTTGAGTCGGCATCCTCCCAGAAGCTGTTCACGGAAGACCTTTGTTCCCACAACCTTGCAAAGCACCTGTTTCTCTGCAATCTAATTTGAGATTCTGGGTAGCAAAGAACATGTACAAATACATGATTTACAATGAAAATAACTGTACTCTTTTTCTATAAGTCAATATATGTCAGTGACCTGGTGTAGGAAATTAGATGGATATGTATAGACAGAAAAACAAAATCTACTAAGGAGCTATTATTGGTCCAGTTTCTAAGAAGTTAAGATATATTTTATGTAAATATTCTTTTTTGCTCACATCATGGCAATTTAGTAATTAGTTCTTTATTTTTCTCAATTTTGGGGATGCATATGTAAGAGGGGATTGAGGTTGGGGAGGAGAGAGTTATAGCTTTCCCATTAGAAATGTTTTCCTTTGGCTGGATGAGGTGGCTCACACCTGTAATTTCAGCAATTTGGGAGGCCAAGGAGGGCGGATAACTGAGGTCAGGAGCTCAAGACCAGTCTAGCCAATATGGTGAAACCCTGTCTCTACTATAAAACCCAAAAATTAGTGGTGCGTGGTGTTGCATGCCTGTAGTCCCAGTTGCCTGGGAGGCTGAGGCAGGAGAACCACTTGAACTCGGGAGGCAGAGGTTGCAGTGAGCTCAGATCATGTCACTGCACTGCAGCCTGGGTGAGAGAGCAAGATTCCATCTCTGGAGAGAAAGAGCAAGAGAGAGAGAAGTTTCACTCTTGTTACCCAGGTTGAAAAGCTGGAGTGCAATGGCACAATCTTGGCTCACTGCAACCTCTGCCTCCCAGGTCCAAGCAACGATTCCCCTGCCTCAGCCTCCTGAGTAGCTCGGGTTACAGGCACCCGCCACCATGCCCAGGTAATTTTTGTATTTTTAGTAGAGATGGGGTTTCACTATGTTGGCCAGGCTGGTCTTGAACTCCTGACCCCAGGTGATCCACCCTCCTTGACCTCCTGAAATGTTGGGATTACAGGTGTGAGCCACTGTGCCCAGGCTTTTTTTTTTTTTTTT